CAAATGACAGCATCTGTTTTCTGCAACCATGTTGACAGCTTCAACAGACAGTCAAGCACATCCTGAAACATGACAAACACACACATGTTAAACTTCACTGGCTGTCAATGACATTTAATAACACTGGTAAATTCTCAAAACTGTATTAACAAATTTAAAAATGTTTTATTTCTACATACCAACAGGAAAAACATAAATGCCAGGAGCTCCTTGTTGACTAGGAGTCTGTGCAGTCCCTGTGCCTTGGAGTCGTTTTTTGAAGCATTTAACAGTTGCATACACAGAGGCTGGTAACTTGCAAGCACATTTCTGATTGCTCTGACTGTATGCCCCAGCCATCTGGTCCCTCCAACCCTTGTGGGTAGATTGAGTTTCTGGCCAGAAGCTGCAAAGGCCTTCTTAAGTCCCTTTTTTTTGGTCTGACCCCCTATGATAAAAGTAGTACAGCCCTATCAACAGCCCTATCCTATATGCCTTATTGAACTGAATTTTGAATTGAATTGAATCAACATAGTCATGCATCTGTCATAGACTTTGTACTTTTTCATAGCATCTTTATAGACCAGCTCCAGCCTGTGGACCAAACAATGTGTCACAACTATATTGTGGTCTTTTTGTATGATAGCAGTTGCCCCATTTCTGCAACCCATCATGTTACTTGCTCTATTGCATGTAATTCCAACAATTTTTTTTGTCAAACCCATCAAGCACTTTGGTCAACACCTTTGCTAGATCAGCACCAGAGGTTGAGTCTGGTTCTTTCAGTTTAAGGAAGGATGTTGTTAGGACACCACTCTTGCAGCTGCGTACAAAGATAGCTTCCTGCTCCTTATTAGAAACATCTGTGGTTCCATCCATCATAAGTGAAAAGAAGCAAGAATCATGGACAAAATTTTCAGCTTCATTAAGTGTAACCCAGGCAATATTATCAACAAATTCTCCTACTGCATGACCCTTCAGATATGTGTGTCCCACATCTATGCCTTTAGCATTTTCTAGTTTTGTCATCCGTTTAAAGTCTGACAGAGGACAGTTGTGTTTAGCAATGGCATGTGCATTTCTGAACAGAATATTCATCCTGTCCCTCTCTTTTTGATTCATGGCCATCATGGCCCTACCAGCTTTGGTGTCTTCAGTTCTCTTCTTCTTTGCTTCTGTAATTTCATTTGCTAAGACATGAGCTTTTGAGTCCTAATGGTCTTTGATGGCTGAGGGCCTGAAGTTGTTACTTCCTTTTATAAAGGTGTGGGTTATGTATCCTTTCATATTTCTTTTGATCTCTGCTTCATGATCAGTGCAGTAAGTGCAGAACATTAACATCTCTTGAGGCTTGTACACAAGCCATGGCCTGCCCACCTTCCATGCAGCTTTAAACTTTCTGTAACTTTCAGTCTCAGATTCCTTTTTAGGTTGCGTTTTTTTTGTGCTTGAGGTTGTTGGGCTTGGAGTGTTTGAGGAGACTTCGTGGCCTTTGGGGTCCCATTTTGTAGCCACTTTAGCATGCTTGGAAAATAAAAGAGAGAAAACAGTATTACTGTCAGCAGTAGTACACATAAGAACAATTTTTAATTTTCTAGGCAAAGATTTTAGTAGCACCGCTCGGAAAAATCTAATAAACCGACAGAATTATCAGAATTAATCAGAAAAGTTTTGGGAGTTATTACATACTTTTACAGAATTAAATTGAAACAACAGAAAACACCAGAAACACAAAAAACATACCAAATTTTTCCGAAATATTAGAAAATTAGCTTACCTTGCGGTCGCTAGATAGCATCCTTAAGGCTTCTGGTGCTTAAACCAATCAAAATCCTGGATAGAACGCATTGCAGCAGCCAACCAATCACAGACCATGTCCGGTGGAGTGACACAATGTTGCCAACTTGGCGACTTTATCGCTGGATTTAACGGATTTTCCGATCCTTCTATCGAGTTGTTTTTTTAAGGGACTAGTAGCGACATATCTAGTGACTTTTCCCCTATGTTTTTAGAGACTTTAGCGACTTCACGTGAAAGCATCAATCCATCTGTCCTGAGGAAAAGTCAAGCGCTGCTGCGGTGAGCCGCTCCCGAGTGCTGCGCACATCGGTCAACATGTCCGGTGATTTAAAGTTTTTCGTCGGACAATTATAATTTACGTCATTAATGTCTGATGGTCCGACGTGTTTTCGCAAACACTGGGTATACAGTATACACACAGACATATATACACACTCAGTGACCAGTCAGAACCCCCCGGATCTGAACACCTGTTTGTGAGCGGTTGTGAACATGCATCTATGTACAAGATTTCTCCAATGGAATATGTAATAGTGACTGTGGAGGACAAAAGACCCAACCCCCAAGACCCTAGGCAGATCCAGGGGAGACCAGAGCCCAAGGACCCGTGAGGGATCCCGAGCGCAGAGCCCCCAGGGGCACCCGCACGGGAAGATCCGCCCACCCACCCCCCAGATCAGACCATAGGGAAGAACCGGAAGAGTCCCACCAGTGACCACATGCAGTAAACCCCCGGGGCCAGCAGCAACAAACTCATAGGCCCTGCCAAAACCTGCCACACCACAGCAGTTCCAGGCATGGACACAGAAGCCCAGCCC